AGTAGTTTTATATCACTTTTTACGATCTTTTCACTGAAAAACCCTAATCCGACTCATTCTCTCTCTAAAATCCACACTCTCTCTACATTTTGACCAAGATTCTGTGATCTTCCAACCCTAGTTCCTTTGTTAAAAAGTTAGAACATCTTGTGGGCTTCCATTTAATCTGAACAAAGTCGAATTTCGGTGTCTTTGAAGTTCTTCCTTTTCTCCTTTGGGCTTCTACTCTTGAGGTAGGGATATTCTACACCTTAATATGATTTTTAACCTTAATATTTGTTGTTATGTATAAACGGTGAAATTTTGGAAGGATTTGGGCAAAGTTAGGGTTTGGGTTCAAATTGAAAGAGGGCTTTCTATGTTGGGTTCCATAAATGAACATGGGGTTTTGAATATGAGGTTACCTTAGGTTTGAATAGTGAAATATAGCCTAGGGATTGATATTTGGAAAAGGGGGAAATTTACCCTAATATGTGTTAAATAATTATTTTGTATAAATAATAGAATCGGTGTGAGAAATGTGAAATTGGGAGGATATATGAATGAATGGTGTAGTTGGATTTGTTAAATCACTCGCCTATGGAAATTTGATGAATTATTTGTTATAAAGATTGTATATCTGTTTAGAAATAACTGTATTGGGCCATCGATGGAGGATGGCTATGATTGTTGTAGAAATTACGTGAGGATTAGGTAAATTGAAACTAATCGTCTAATTATGTCATTGAATATGACAATATCTTTAAATACATTGTATATGTATAGTGTTTGGGAAAAGAAAGGGGATGTACTTCATGTTTTGGGAGAAGATAGGGGATGGACTCCATTGAAAATGAAGTTAGCCGGAGTGTCTAGGGTGAAAGTCCTGAAATCAATTGAATACATGGGTGCCAATCTTGCGGACAAAATTTTCATAAAATAGAAAGATTGAAGTACTTGTATGATTGTTGTGTTGATTTGGAACCACTGAGTTGTAGTCTCAGTTGGGTTATTCGAAAAATTATAAATTTGGTCTATGAAGTGAAATAAAATGAATTAACTTGAAATGGATAGAAGGAAATGGATTGAGATATGAATATCGGTATTGTTTATTTATGTGGAGAATATATATTGTCATGAATATTGAATATATGCCTAACACTTATATCTTAGTTAAACCTCATATATTGTGTCAGTCTATCTTTACTGGGCTTTGGCTCACCCTACTTGGGAAACCATTTTCAGGTACTGGTGATATGCTTCCTCCAAGGACATAGTTTGGAGGACTTAGGAACTGAAGGCTCTATTTGGTTATTTTTGTGTTTAACTGTCTATTCAAGCCAAGGGCTTTAAATGTATAGAGCCTATGACTCTCTTTTGTTTTAACCAAGTATTATCTTGGAAAGATGTAAACCCGTAGGTGTAACAAGCCCGCGGGGGACCTCGCTACAGCTCGGACTCGATTTTGTAGTCACGGTTCTAAGTCTGAACCAAAGAGTCCAAATCCGGCAAATCGTTTTGAGAAAACAGATTTTTGAAAGAAGTGCCAAACATGGACTGCTTTGCCAGATACAGAGTCGCCACCTAAATATTTTAAAATGGGAGAATTTAGGAAACCCTGACTCGGTGCCAAAAGGCCACGCGTCCGTCATCACCAAAGTTGCCTCGGCTCAGGAACTTGGGTACGATTGGGGAAGGTCACTTCGTGAGCACCCCCGCTCGCCCGGTCATAGACCGGCCTCTACTAACCATGATATCAATTTTTGAAAACATTGTATGTTCTTATTCCGGTTATTAGCCTAGGTTACTATGTGATGCTCGCAGCATATAAATATAGACTGGGTCGTCCGAATTGGAACAAAACATTTCATGCTTGTTTATTTGAAAATGGTTTGATGGTGCTACCCGCAAGTAGGCTAAGACGCGGATTTGCCACCCTCATGTGGGCTTTTGGAAAAGATGGTTTTGCCACTATCTAGTGGGCTTAAAACACACATTTGATGAATTATTCCAATTCAAATAACCCAACCTTCACCCACAGGCATTCAGGCAGATATTTCACATAAGCACATAGCCTCATGGTAAGCATGCTATTCATGGCAGCACTCACACGCATGCAAGGATGCTAAAACATAGGTGAAGTGGAGTGTGTAGTGGAGTAGAGGTAGGTGAAGTGGAGTGTGTAGTGGAGTAGAGGTAGGTGAAGTGGAGTGTGTAGTGGAGTAGAGGTAGGTGAAGTGGAGTGTGTAGTGGAGTAGAGGTAGGTGAAGTGGAGTGTGTAGTGGAGTAGAGGTAGGTGAAGTGGAGTGTGTAGTGGAGTAGAGGTAGGTGAAGTGGAGTGTGTAGTGGAGTAGAGGTAGGTGAAGTGGAGTGTGTAGTGGAGTAGAGGTAGGTGAAGTGGAGTGTGTAGTGGAGTAGAGGTAGGTGAAGTGGAGTGTGTAGTGGAGTAGAGGTAGGTGAAGTGGAGTGTGTAGTGGAGTAGAGGTAGGTGAAGTGGAGTGTGTAGTGGAGTAGAGGTAGGTGAAGTGGAGTGTGTAGTGGAGTAGAGGTAGGTGAAGTGGAGTGTGTAGTGGAGTAGAGGTAGGTGAAGTGGAGTGTGTAGTGGAGTAGAGGTAGGTGAAGTGGAGTGTGTAGTGGAGTAGAGGTAGGTGAAGTGGAGTGTGTAGTGGAGTAGAGGTAGGTGAAGTGGAGTGTGTAGTGGAGTAGAGGTAGGTGAAGTGGAGTGTGTAGTGGAGTAGAGGTAGGTGAAGTGGAGTGTGTAGTGGAGTAGAGGTAGGTGAAGTGGAGTGTGTAGTGGAGTAGAGGTAGGTGAAGTGGAGTGTGTAGTGGAGTAGAGGTAGGTGAAGTGGAGTGTGTAGTGGAGTAGAGGTAGGTGAAGTGGAGTGTGTAGTGGAGTAGAGGTAGGTGAAGTGGAGTGTGTAGTGGAGTAGAGGTAGGTGAAGTGGAGTGTGTAGTGGAGTAGAGGTAGGTGAAGTGGAGTGTGTAGTGGAGTAGAGGTAGGTGAAGTGGAGTGTGTAGTGGAGTAGAGGTAGGTGAAGTGGAGTGTGTAGTGGAGTAGAGGTAGGTGAAGTGGAGTGTGTAGTGGAGTAGAGGTAGGTGAAGTGGAGTGTGTAGTGGAGTAGAGGTAGGTGAAGTGGAGTGTGTAGTGGAGTAGAGGTAGGTGAAGTGGAGTGTGTAGTGGAGTAGAGGTAGGTGAAGTGGAGTGTGTAGTGGAGTAGAGGTAGGTGAAGTGGAGTGTGTAGTGGAGTAGAGGTAGGTGAAGTGGAGTGTGTAGTGGAGTAGAGGTAGGTGAAGTGGAGTGTGTAGTGGAGTAGAGGTAGGTGAAGTGGAGTGTGTAGTGGAGTAGAGGTAGGTGAAGTGGAGTGTGTAGTGGAGTAGAGGTAGGTGAAGTGGAGTGTGTAGTGGAGTAGAGGTAGGTGAAGTGGAGTGTGTAGTGGAGTAGAGGTAGGTGAAGTGGAGTGTGTAGTGGAGTAGAGGTAGGTGAAGTGGAGTGTGTAGTGGAGTAGAGGTAGGTGAAGTGGAGTGTGTAGTGGAGTAGAGGTAGGTGAAGTGGAGTGTGTAGTGGAGTAGAGGTAGGTGAAGTGGAGTGTGTAGTGGAGTAGAGGTAGGTGAAGTGGAGTGTGTAGTGGAGTAGAGGTAGGTGAAGTGGAGTGTGTAGTGGAGTAGAGGTAGGTGAAGTGGAGTGTGTAGTGGAGTAGAGGTAGGTGAAGTGGAGTGTGTAGTGGAGTAGAGGTAGGTGAAGTGGAGTGTGTAGTGGAGTAGAGGTAGGTGAAGTGGAGTGTGTAGTGGAGTAGAGGTAGGTGAAGTGGAGTGTGTAGTGGAGTAGAGGTAGGTGAAGTGGAGTGTGTAGTGGAGTAGAGGTAGGTGAAGTGGAGTGTGTAGTGGAGTAGAGGTAGGTGAAGTGGAGTGTGTAGTGGAGTAGAGGTAGGTGAAGTGGAGTGTGTAGTGGAGTAGAGGTAGGTGAAGTGGAGTGTGTAGTGGAGTAGAGGTAGGTGAAGTGGAGTGTGTAGTGGAGTAGAGGTAGGTGAAGTGGAGTGTGTAGTGGAGTAGAGGTAGGTGAAGTGGAGTGTGTAGTGGAGTAGAGGTAGGTGAAGTGGAGTGTGTAGTGGAGTAGAGGTAGGTGAAGTGGAGTGTGTAGTGGAGTAGAGGTAGGTGAAGTGGAGTGTGTAGTGGAGTAGAGGTAGGTGAAGTGGAGTGTGTAGTGGAGTAGAGGTAGGTGAAGTGGAGTGTGTAGTGGAGTAGAGGTAGGTGAAGTGGAGTGTGTAGTGGAGTAGAGGTAGGTGAAGTGGAGTGTGTAGTGGAGTAGAGGTAGGTGAAGTGGAGTGTGTAGTGGAGTAGAGGTAGGTGAAGTGGAGTGTGTAGTGGAGTAGAGGTAGGTGAAGTGGAGTGTGTAGTGGAGTAGAGGTAGGTGAAGTGGAGTGTGTAGTGGAGTAGAGGTAGGTGAAGTGGAGTGTGTAGTGGAGTAGAGGTAGGTGAAGTGGAGTGTGTAGTGGAGTAGAGGTAGGTGAAGTGGAGTGTGTAGTGGAGTAGAGGTAGGTGAAGTGGAGTGTGTAGTGGAGTAGAGGTAGGTGAAGTGGAGTGTGTAGTGGAGTAGAGGTAGGTGAAGTGGAGTGTGTAGTGGAGTAGAGGTAGGTGAAGTGGAGTGTGTAGTGGAGTAGAGGTAGGTGAAGTGGAGTGTGTAGTGGAGTAGAGGTAGGTGAAGTGGAGTGTGTAGTGGAGTAGGTGAAGGTAATGTGGTAGTAGGTGTAGTGGAGGTGATAGTGGGTTAGGTGAAGTGGAGTGCGTAGTGGAGTAGGTGAAGGTAATGTGGTAGTAGGTGTAGTGGAGGTGATAGTGGGTTAGGTGAAGTGGAGTGTGTAGTGGAGTAGAGGTAGGTGAAGTGGAGTGTGTAGTGGAGTAGGTGAAGGTAAAGATGGGAAATTCTAACACAAGATACATTTGCATAATGTAACTTTGAACAAACCCGTTCACAACCCAAATCAATCCAAAATTACACTATGGAGAACCATGTATCTATTTGTATCATTAATACATTTCTAGAAAATAAAGAAGTTACCACACACCTGAATCATGCTCAAAATAATTTCAAGCCCACCACACTCCCGGACTGCACCTGCTATTGCAAACTCAACCTCTGGATCCTGAGTTTCCTCCCTATCCTCCTCCAACTCTTTGATCATTGGTTCAGTAGCTTCACCATCTAATCCCTGCCAAATTATAAAATGATGCACTTATTTAGATGCAGATACTTGTACACTTTCCATATCAATTTCTACAGTTGAGTTTTGGCAAAAACAACTTTTACGAGCCAGTAACAAAAAAGCTTCCTGAACATACTTTCTACATTGAATGAGCACAATACAAAGTAAGAAGAATGAATTACATAAAAGACTTTAAAAATGATTGTGAAAGAGAAAATAATGTTAACAGTTCAAACCATCCTTCTTCATTGTAATTATTACATTCGCCTAGAATAAAAACGATGCTGTATCATAGTATTATGAATGTAAGGAAAGATATTCTTGAACATACACTAGGTACAGATTCCAGAGAAGGAAAAAAAATGAAAAGGACCAACAACAGCAAGCTATCTAAAAGTACAAAGTAGATAATATTCATCATTTCAGAAGAAAAACCGCTCTTTTAAATTTACAACAAACAAATACCAGAGTCATACACAGATCAGCAGGAACAAACCTGAAGGCGGTAAGTTACAGTCATAGGAGGACAATCTCTGGCTGGCGTGGCAGCATTCGAGGACAGCAGGGTAGTACTAGCAGTTGAGCTTGAGGACTGGCTATTCGACTTTCTCCAAACTAGTTCATACACTTGAGCAATGCTCAAATCAAGAGAGATGATATTTCCAGCCACAAGCAATTCCATACCATAGTCATCTTCAAGAAGACCTAACAGTTCCAACTGGTGGCAGATTTTGTTTTTAACATCACGCATCAGTGGACCAATCTCAGCACTGGAATAAGGATTCTTGGTCATTGACCCCCTGATAAATTCTTCTTGAGTGTGTGCCTTATTAAGAATTAAAAGATATACAGGCTCGGGTTTTGATGGGCAGATCAGATTGCAGAGCTGTTCCAAGATAAACTGTATATTCAAGTGAAATTTAATCGTGAATAAGCAATAAGATCAACATAACAGTAAAATCACTATGCAAAAATGTATAAAAGTAAATGAAGCATTCCTAGAGCCTGACAACTAAAGTAAAAGAACTAATAATGAACGACTGATGGTCATCCAACAATGTTAATTTAGCAAGCAACATGAGGACTGTACTCAAGGTAACACAAAGCAATAGATTAAAACAACAATGACATGTTCACTATGTACTTTATATTATTTTCCCCACAATATTTAGAATTTACTTCAGAATTAGGTTAGTATTTTATGGCAAACAGTTTTTCTTTAGCCCATACTTGTTGCTGTAAGGAGTCATTAGTTTTTGCAAAAATGGTGAAGAAAATTACAAAAAAAATAATGAGAATAGACCGTAAAGTAATTCCTCCATACCAAAGAAGTTCGTCCTTTTCTCTCCTCTCCATGGATTTGCAGACCACTAATGCATGCCCGTATAAACTGCCGCTTATTTTCATAGCTCTCAAGGAGAAGACTATCTAGAAGATCATTTAGAAGTTGATTACAATCGCTAATCAGCTTTGTCTTCTGCACTATCAAACCTCGGATAATGATGAAGGCCTCAAGGACTTGAGACAACAACTTCTCTTGCATGAATCTGGCATCAACATCAAATTATATGATGGATAAGAAGAAGCCAAATATACCAAATTCTACCACAAAACTAAAGCATGGAAAGAACTAATACCTGGATCTGACATTGGAAACCTCCAAAAATTTGCCAAGGAGCTCTATAAGCTTGTGAAGAATAAAACCCTGTGAGATATCAATATGCAAGCTCCTCTCTAGGGATACAACATTGCCCACTTCTTGGGTAATTAACTTGCATATTATAGCAAGGCATCCACGTACAGTCAAGAAAAGTCGGGCATCTTCAGATTCTATCATCTTAAAGAGCATTTCAAAATACTCTGCAGCATTTTCACCAGCAGAAAGAGTTGCTGGTAACAAAGACATGAGTAAATTCAACAACCGAAACCACCTTGCAGGACTTTGGCCACAAAGCAAACTAATCAGCATACACATCTCAGACCTTATAGATTGAGAACAAGCACTCAATACAAGTTCTGTAACCCAAGAGCCCAGCTCAAATGATGGTAAGTCACTCTTCGTCTTACAAGCACGCTTCCATCTAAGGGCATATTTCAGGGCTAGGTAGTCATTTCTCTGGGGACGAGACCTTTGACCTCCCTTAACAGCCTGAGACACTTTATACTGCCGCCTAACAAAATCAAGATATGATGCTCCCTTCTCCCACTCAGAGTAGCTTAGTAACTGAATATCTTGAGTTTTTTGAGAACCATCACAACTCTTTTCTAATGGTTCTGGTGCAGATTTACTCCCACTGACAAGGACACTTGAAGATACAGATGGATTTAAGTTGCTTTCAACGGAAACAGAGGCAGGTTTTCCTATTCCTTGCTCTTTGTCAGTCGTATCAGGCTTTGGAGGAGTACATGCCTGAGATATAATCCTCAGACAAGGAAGAATAACATGCTCAGAAATAGCCGGATGTTTGGCACCCAATTTAATTGAAGAAAACAACAACTGGAAGACAACTCGTAACCTTGACTCCCAAAATTCATCTGCCAAAGAACACACCTCTGAAAGCAACAGCAACTCTTCACGGGTAGCCAGCGCAATATCCATTGAGCGATGATGTTCAAGACAGTACAAAACTTTCTTCTGTACCAAACTATTCAACTCAGCTACCGCATTCACATCACCTTCGGAGAAAGCACAAAGTGCTGCCCTGGCTTGGACACGAGCAGTTTTAGGACCCTGATGAATATTATTCTCAAACAACTCAGATAAAATCCCAGCAGAAACAAGTTGCTTCTTGGAGTTTGAGTGCTTTGATAGCACCTGTAACATTTCTAGACATTGTGTAACAAATGTTGAAGCACAGCCATAGCAACTGTTTTGTGATCTGGATATGACAAATCTTGATGAGGCAACTACATTATCAGAATTCTTCTGATGCAAATAATTCATCAAAACCCGTCTAAGCCCCTGAAGTGTCTGCACACTTTTGCTAACAGAATCAAAAGCTGCTTTACATTTCTCACCATATAGGACACCGAGAAGAGCAATTTTACGGTTTATCTTACAGGAAGGTCCAGGCAAAGACACCATCATTTGCTGCACAGAATCCTTCTGCTGGGAGTCCATTTCATTCTCACCAATGCTGGATACAATCTTAAGCAAAGGTTTCTTAAAGCCCAAAAGCTGCTGATATCTCCTGTGAGCATTTTCCGATTCAGATTCTATAGCAGCCAGTCCCCGCTTCATATCTTCATCATTCTCCATGCTATCAAAAGTAAAACTTGGCTTCGCCATGAAATTAAATTCAAAGCGACCATATTTGCTGTACCCACATTCATTGCACAAGAAAGAATCCAGATTCTCATAATTAATATTACGACATTGCCTGCATTGATATGCATTCTCATGGCAATTACTACAAATCCCATGCTTATCAGTGACAGGTCGACTGCAACGTGGACACTGCAATGGCTCAAGGGATAAAGCTTGAAGATTTTCATAGAAAGAATCCAGCTCAATCATGAAGTTACACGCAGTGATTGGAATGGGAAAATCTACTTTTAGTTCAGTCTGGTTGAAAGCAAGATGGCAGCTCTTTGCACGTTTCCACAATGGCCAATTATTCTTCAATTCCGACAAGTCAGACACAGGCCTATTGTTGTAGTAAAGGTTCAAGACTTTAACTGATTTGGACTTCCGAGCATCATGAACATTCATGGTCACGCTTTGAATGGTATAGCTCCCAGTGCATTTCACTATAATGCGATTATCAGTAAATTTCGTTTCTGATTTTATACTTTCTAGCTTCATCCTGCTGTAAGGCACCTCCAGAGAGCTACAAGCAACACAAGGCTCACTCTCAAGATAATACCCATCAAATTCCACTAAACCACCCAAAGTGTTGTATATACGTGAATTAGGATGATTAGCCAAAAGCTCATTTTGTGAGTGAAGTGTCTCAAAGATGCACCTAATCACATCAGGGGTTAAGCATCGGTCCACCATTTCAGTGCTCTGCTGCTTCGAAACATTATCAGGGACCTTCCCCAACAAGCAGGTGACAAGTTCTGCATATTCGATGATATTCTGACCATACATTGGCAGGCATTTCACTTTATGCAAGAGAGCCATTAGCAAGGTTTCCTTGAATGACTGCTTTCCATGATGCCAGACGCCATAGAGAACACATTTGGCTTCCGCACGCACCGAGCTTGAATTCCATTCCAATAAAAAGCAATCAATGAATTGCCTCAAAATATCTCCCCCCTTGGCAGCGAAGACAGGTACAACTGGCTCCATATCCAAATAAGACCTCTCCGAACCAGATTCAGTTCCATCTTCTCCTTTCTTCTTCTTCTTGGACTCCAGAGATTGTGTTCCTGATTTGTTCGAACTAGTTCCTGTGTCTCCCCCTTCAATTTTCTGTAAGAAATGGCTAATGTCCTTTCCAGCATAGAACGCCAAATTCAGAAGTTTAAGAGTCTGAACCACAGACTCTTCCCCAAAACTGAATACTCCATCCATCAGAAATGGTAAGACATCTCCATTCCTCAAGCAATACTTCTGCCAGTTCCGAGGCCGTGCAGCAGCTACTTCAGCCATAGTAGACAGGCACTTCACTATCTTAACACATCTCTCATATGGGATAGTACTTTGGAAGCCACCAGATTTATTTATGTATTCATAAAGTCTCTTAACTTCACTCAAGAACTGCCAAGAGTCTCGAACACTGTAATAGTGTGTTTTGCTACCACAGAGATGCAGAAAAAGCCTCCTTGCATACCTTCTCACAAAAGTTGTATTAGGATTGTTGATGTAACTGCAGAGAACATCCTGATACGCATCTAATTTCAAATCCTTGCCAGAAATCTTGTATGCCTTCTCTTTCTCCCCAGCCTTGTCATGCTTTTCTGGTCGAACCAAACTGTAAACCAGGCGGAAAGCATTCTCCAGCAATAACCTATGGTAGTCTGCAAATATATCCGTGCGATGCGATTTGGCATATGAATCTGAAAAGAATGGAGAAAAATTACCCGCTGGTAGCTCTCTTCTGACTGTCAGCATAGCCCCACATCCCAAACCAGGGTTTGAACCATGGCCAGTGTCAAAGTTAATAGTTTGGGACTTGAAAACATGCACCAGCTGCTGCAGGATATCCATTAGATAATTAACAAAAGCTTGCTGCCTAAGTGCACCACAAGCTTGATGCAACTGAGAAGCAAAGTTATTTTTCTCTTGATCATCCAATGAAGATGGGGCAGCAACTGAAGTGGAAGGCTGAACCAGGATGATGCTTTTATCATGTGTATCAGTTGTTCCACTTGATTTTGGCATTGAAACATCAGTGCCAGGCTGATGCCAGTTCCGTAGCATCAAAGTAAAGAACATAAAAACAAGGATAGTGACCTCTCCAATATGAGAACGATCTTTGGCAGCAAAAGGTTTGTTGAGATTAATCTCATCTAAAAACCACCTTACCAATTTCTCTAAGTCTAAGCTTTCTGGCTTTGAGCTGTCAACAAAAGGTCCACCCACAGCAGATGATAATCTGTAGAAGAGCTGCATAACAGGAATAGCCCGAACCCCAGAGGTGATTTCCATCCATCCTTTCAGCTGTTCGAGAAGTTCAGCAAGAAGTAAAGAATTTACAGCCCTTTTCGATGCTGAAATTGTAACTGGATCAATTACTGAAGTGGAAAACTCTCCAGATTCATCGGTTTCTAGAACATGAATTGATGGTGCAGAATTTTGCTTGCTGACTTCAGCTGCAACTGGCAACAAGTTTGAATCACTTAAATCATCTGTAGAGAAATGAATTTCATTGCCCTCTCCACCCAATGTTTCCACTTCTATTGGAATTGCTGACATGGGATGATCTCTAAAATGTGGTGGAGGAAGCCGGTCTGCATCTAGCACTTCATAACATGCCTCACATAGATCAAAATCAGGGCAAACAGTGCAATGCCACCTCCGCCTAAGTATAGGAACAGTTGAACAACCATCACAACAGTATTGAACTGATGATGTAATAGAGTCTTCTTCAACCATGATCTGATTATTTCCAGCAGCTGAGGTTGTCACATTGGCAGGCACAGGAATTGGTGCTGCATTCTCCACCATGTCATCTGTGCCTAACATAGTTTGTTTTGGAAATGGAACCTGAAGCAACCTTGAAGATATAGCCAAGCTGGAGAGAGAGAGAGAGAGAGAGGCAAAAGAAAAAGAAGAAAAAATAAGTTAATAACTGGAAAACAGAAAGAAGAAACAAGTAGTTAAGGACATACATATACCTGCTAGATGTCTGAACAGCCTCATTGGAGAACATAAGTTTCTTGAATAATGAAACAGCAGGGGCAACAGAGTGCCCTCCTGCATCCTTTCCATGCAAAGCAAGACACTCGGCATAACAATAAATTAGTTCCACAGAGGATACAACGATGTTGTTCATTGTTTGTGTGTCAGGCTGCTCTATGTCCAAAATTCCCCATAATACTTGCATAAGCCCATCCACCACTTCCGAACCTGCACGAGGTGATAGCAGTTGAGCAACGGACAGCAGTACAATATGTATAGGAAAGTATGTAAATGAAAATCTTCTTCAGAATTAGATGCCTTTGATCCTTCTAACTTTAATACTGTGACTAGGGGGATGGCAATCCAACCTGGTTACCATGTATCTGCCCTGCCCCACTCTAACCCTGATGGGGGGCAGCTTTGGGGTATAGTTAACTGGGGGGTAGAAGCAGGTTAGGGATGCATTATCTAAGCCTAAGGCTCGGAGTGGGCCTCGGTAAACAAAGAACCCATCCACGCCTAATGCAACAATTTGCAAAATCTGATGTATAGCCTCTATTCCTATTCTGATCTACAACACATCAGCAACTAACAGAATCTTCTTTTCTTTTCTTTTTTTTAAAGAAAAGGCTCTCGCTTACATACAGCCCATATTCAAATTGCATAGCATAAACGAGCAGCCTGTCTCTCATGCAAAATCCATTTCACCCTAGAAGCTCAACCAACAAGTTAAAAGATTATTCCCATTAATGCAGACTATTACGGTTATATATGGATTCTAGTTGCAAGAATTCAAATATCATCCAATTGCCTCTAGTTATATAACCTACAGTTAAGTACTACAGTGTCATAAAATGTTTTGGATACAACAATGGTTAATTGGTATAAAGTTTAAAAATGCCATACGAGCAGTCATGACAAATCAAGATATACTAACATCATAATTGACCTTTTATCACCATGAGGGCTTTACGAAAGCATGTAAAAGTAACCATAAAAGTAACTTCTGAAACCAATGAATGAATGACAAATTTCAATTGATGTCACAAGAGTTAGCATCAGTGAAATTAATACCAATGGTCTAAAAGGAAAAATATAGAAATATTCAAAGCTAAAGTGAAGCACCACCATAGTCCTCAGTGGTTATCAATGCTATTAGATTGAAAAACTATGATATATCTAAATAACATTTGGGTACAGAGTTTACCAGTGATCAATAAGGTAGCAAGTATGGAAAAAGGAAAGCAGTCAACGGACAGGGAATTGTACTAATAAATAATATGTTTCGACAAGGTCATTTAACAATGTTAGCATCCTGTTTTCATGTAAGCTGGAAGCAAAATTTGATAGCTAAACAAAGAAAAACAAACATGATGGTTAATAGGGTATTCATCAAATTTCCCGTGATTAACAGAGTTGGAAAACCAGTAGAGAAGAGAACTCAAACTGGGACACTGCTTATGTGTGGGGCTCAACTATGAATATCAATCATCATAAGCTGCCCTTATAGAGCACCACATGAGACAAACATCAAGTAAGCATTAAGACGACTACTTGAAATCATCAATATGACATCATCCTCTAGAAGCATAAAACTTTATTCTTTACTATATATATTAATGCTGCCATAGTGCACATGCAGAAGAAACAACATATAATGATTACTACAAAAAAAAAAAAGAAACTGATAAGAACTACCAGGCCCTATATACCTAGTTAGCTCAGGCTAATTGTTTCAAACAATATTAGAACATGCACAAATAGTACTAATTTGAATTCATTTTCACCAAGGTAACCATTAATAATAATGAAAAGAAAAAGAAAAGAAAAAAGCCTCTTAAACTAAAAAGAAATTCAGCAAGGAAGCAAAAAGAGAGGATGATGGGGAAGCACAAAGACCCCACTAAACCCACAAATGCACCACTAAGAGCATGAAAACATAAAGGATGTCCCTTGCACAACAAGCCAATTCTGATTTAGGCTTCATGTAACTGTGTACAAGACAAAAAATTTAATCTATTGCAGCTAAACCCAGCACAAGTACAAATGAAAATTAGGATTAGGACTTTGCAACAATACCATTTATCTCCAGAAAGTTGGCCAAGTTCGGCCGGCGATGCAACGCAATCTTAGAAACTGCACGCATTTGGGCCGTAAACTCCTCAATAATCCATCCAGCTGTGGTACCACCAACTCCCAGCCTTGAAGAGAGCATGGTGGTGGATTTCACCACTCCAAGAAGGCGCATTGTGTCCTTAACCTAAGCAACAAGGTACACGTAATCAAGAAACACACCCAAAAAAAAAAGGGTTTAAAAAGAGAAAGGAAAGGAGCAAGGAAGAAAAAAAAGAGAAGAGAAAAGAAAAGTTAATGAGTACACCAAATAAAAGCACGAATAGGAAATTACTTGGAGATACATCTCCCTTTTAGGGAACACAGCCTGCAAGACACGGCAAGCAGCAGCCTGCAATAACGGCTCCTTATCGCTTTCAAATATTGTTTCTAACAACTGCTTGCACTTGAGTTTGCCCAGCTCCAGCTTTACATCATCAACTTTTGAGCATTCTTGTGACCTACACAGTGAATAGAACCTAGACAAAAGCTTGAGGCCATCTCCTACCACTTGCTCCTGAATAGGAGCAGACTGCGTAATACGACACTTTTTCCCCGATCCTGCAGCCCAGGAATTACAACCAAGAACACGAGCTTCCATATCCAGCACTGCATCCATCTTCTCCTTCCATCCAAATTCATCCTTAGCTCGACCATAAACTTCTAACGAGTCAATTCTTGGTAATGTGGAACCATTGGAGGTTGGTCCAACAGATATTGTAAATTCTTCATCAGCAAGAAGTGATTCAGCCACTGTGAATGGAATATCATACCAAGACCGCATGCCCTCATCTAATTTTATCACTCTCTGGAAAATAGTAATATCAGAAGGTATATGGTTTGCTGATGTATTACCAACATGGACACGGAAACCAACCATGACTATGTCAGGATTTGAATTAGAAACAGTTATCTGAGAAAAAAAGACAGAAGAAGAATTAAGCAAGGAACAATTATTACAGGAGAAAAAAAATTAGTGAATGGTAAAAACTCCACAAAGTTAAATCGTAATCATTCCAGGAGGGAGTAAAGAGAGGTCTCTCCATAGAATTAGGAGAATAAAGTGTCATACTGAATGGAAATTATGACAGATTTAATTTAGCTCTACCATAAATCAAAGAACACAAACCAACTAGGCCTAGCCTAGTTGGCCACCATGCCTTCCTTAGGGCTTAGTCCCAAGGAGGTCATGGGTTCAATTCCCCTTAGGGGGTTGAATTAAGGGAGTGCAAGCACTTAGGTGCTTTGCCAAGGGTGGGGAGACTTTCTCCCATAGGTGCTAATCTAACAGCTAACAACTAACATTTGCTGATCAAAAAAAACATAAATAAATAATCAAAGAACACAGTGAAAACCTAAAGGTCATCTACAGAAAAAAGATTTTCAGAAAACAAACCCAAACTTAGATGGAACCACAACGCTCACTACAGTTCACTGGAAAGAGGGGGGGAAAAAAAAAGAAAAAAAAAAGGAAAGAAGAAGAAGAGCAAATTACATAGTTTCAGCAGCCTCGGCATGCACAAGAAATATAATAATAAATAAATATAATCAGTAATAGATTCAAACTCAAAAGAGTTAACTGAAGTTAAAATGCATTTGTTTCCTACATCAGCATTGTTGTCAATTATATCCACCTTTCTTACATAATCTCTAATCTGGGATTTCATGTTAAATTACTTGACTCAAAAAACAATTATAAGTACATAATACAACCTACATCCAAAATATTTGATTAGAAAGAGATAGTGATATATATTAATGAAATTATGAAATAAGGCTTATGAAAATAGTAATGATTGAAAATATTTTCTGATGTATTTTAAAAAAAGATCCTGCAACAATGGTCCACTGCCGCATGCAATGATATAATTGGGTATTGAAGAATGATGTCACCAAAGATATTAGAGAAAACAAACAATGATGTCACCAAAAAATTAAAGGAAACAAACAACCATCATAGAAGTATAAAATTAGAATCCTATTAGGTGCCATGTCAGACACAGGTAGCTAAACTGGATAGCAACAATACCTTAAAACCTGCGGGGCTGGGACTTTCTAAAAACCCGTCCTCAGATACCAAGCTTTGCTTCGCTCCTTCAGAGTCGCCATTCCTGATGGCTTCGCCACTCAGTTTCACATCTGCAGTGATGCATACTGTTTTCTCAAAAAAATCAAGTGGGAATTCTAGATTTGAACCAGCATAAGCTTTATTATCAAGAATACCAGACCCCAGTCTCTTCACTTTATCCAATATTGTACTTGCACTAGCATCAACACCAACAGGTACATGTGAGTATATCTGAAGGCTTCCATCATCATGTAAAACAAGACAGTGAATTTTGTCTTTGGATAGTGGCTTGTAAGCAGTCATCCCAACCAAAGGCAAGGTTGAACCCACTGAATGCCTTAAGTTCTGTGCAAATATCTCATGCTCCCCCATAGAAACAGCAAGTGCAGCATTGGATTTCACAGATGAGAAACAAACAAATAACCCAATGCCAACCAACAACTCTCTCCAATGATGTAATCCAGCTGGTCGCAGCTTACCATCATGCTCATCCTCATATACTGAAGATATCTCAGAAATGGAAGTTGCATCAGGATTTAACCTGCCAATCAAGGTGCTTCCATCTTGGTAAGATAGAAAGAGTAACTTATAAGTTGGTGAGAAATACAAAGATGAGCCCTTCACAAGCACATCTTTATCCTTAATTAGAATCATTTCCTTCAATGATTTGGCTCCAACATTTCCTTCCATTGACAATTCTAGCCTGAATAAGCATCCAAGTTCGGAAAGGACAATAAGAAACATCCTTCCTTGGGAAGCCACAACTAGTGTTGCATCCACAACCATCTCGTCGGGCAATGTGAAGTAATGCACGGGACCGATGTTGTCCTGAGAAAGATCATATATTTTGACAAACCTGTTTGTAACCACCATCAGCTGAACCTGGGAACCTGGAACCCAATCCACACGCCTGATATAAGCACCTTGCAAAGCAAGTTCGATGGCCAGACGATCAGTCACCTCACCGCGATGACTTACAGTAAGGACCTGGCAATCTTCATATCCTGCTACAGCAAGATAATTCTCTACCACAGGGTTGAAGACAAGATGTACAATTTCAAAGCGAACCACATTCCTGGAGAGAGGCTTCACATTAGCCTTATCAGCAGCCAAAGGTGCAATAGTTGCCTGCCCAATCAGCTGCCCAACGTCAAATATGGCCACTTTGTCACCTTCGCCAACAGCAAGTCGACCTCGAGTGCTGACACTTAGTAAGGATTTAACAAGAGATCCACTAGCTAAATGGGATTTAAGTTCCTTGGCATTAGAATAATCTGCTTTTATCTTGAGGTCTAAGGACCCACTTTTATAAGCCTTCCTCAATTGCAAAAGATCAACACCATAAGACAGCACTTTATCTTCACCCAGTACAATATTTTTATCTTTTGAAAGGTTAGAGTCCCTTTTGCTAGTTATAGAAGGCAACAACGATGAGCAAAGTTCAAGCACCCGTCCTTCAACATCAAGTTCTTCAAGTAACAATGGCATCCCATCTTGAACCTCTCTTGGAATAGATAACCTAATAGAGTTGTCGGTGTCTATAGCAACCTCTTCATCAATATCTGAATCACTATCAGGCAGCTGATCTCCATCCTCTGTAAAGGGGAGAAAAGACTGAAAATTGCCACTGCCACGAGTGGATGCACTGTTACTAGCAGTAAATTTTCGAGGCTTCAAGCATTGGCAACTGCTACCTCTAACACCCCCAGCTCCACAATCACAAAAGAAGCGACTTGAGCGGGAGTAAACAACACGATGACCACGATGACAAACTTTTGCACATACAGAGCAACAGCCTTTTGACACAGTCAGATCACATGTATAACAAAAATACCAGTGTTGTTCCATGAAATTGCTGCCACTGGATGTGAATGTGCAAACTTTAGAAGCAAGGGCCCTGTCACTGTTAGAATCCTCTTCATCATCCTTATCAATGCTACCCACCTCACCATCGGATGTTCCGTCATCCTCATCTTCATCTGCAGAAGTTGCATCACATTCAAGAGATGAAGATCCCCCTTCCTGATTAGCAGAAAGAACCAAGGTCTCAGAATTTTTCCTTGAACTTAGAGATCTAGAGGCTATAGGTCTCACACCAGAACTATTGCTAGACAAAGGCTTTCCAGAAGATTTTTCAATAGTATTTTTAATGGACCCACAATCACACAAAACAGTCCCAAGAAAGCCTAAGAGAAACTTCAGCCCTTGAAGTAGATGCTCATCACCAGCCAACCTCTTCATCAGCATGAGACTCTGCTGCAGAAGGGATTTCAATGAAGTTTCACCTCTTGAAAGTTGAGCAACAAAATTGAAATAGAATTTTGCAGTATGAGTATCATATAGCATAAATGCATTATCAAGTGAAATCAGCATTGCTTCAAACAAATGGCTGTGTAGTTCTCTTGATTGCAGTTCAGAAGACGGCGATAGAAGGCAGACGATAAAATTCATGGTTGATTCCCTTAGAGAAACTGAGCTTCCTTTTGCACTGGCGATCCCACCTGATGCTTCCACCATCGAACCTATTAGTCTCCTTTCTAACCATTTTGAAAGGAAAAGCAAATCCATGCCAAGGAATTTCTTCTGAATTTTTTGTTTTACACCAGGACACATCTCTCCTGATACGAGATCAGTGAAGAAATTAAGAACCTTTACATTTACCGGTTCAGAGTAACATTTGTCCAATGAATCAATCACAACCAACAAATCACCACGTTGCGAATCATAAATGTCCTTGACCTGTGCAGACACATCTTCCACAGAGAGAAAGAATCTGAAAACAACAGCTCTTGAAGGGTCCTTTCTTAGGCTATCCATGGTATCAATAGCCTTGTTGACTATCCATTCATGAATACTGCTATCACTGACTTCTTTGGCATTTATATCACATAAAAATTCTTCCATGTGCTTCAGCAGAAATAAACAGCTATAATCAGGCCCTTTCAAGCCCTCACTCAAGCTGCGGTAAACTGATTCGCATTTTCCATGAAGACTTTCAAAAATCTTATCAGACTTGATTGTCATTACTGAATGAAGAATCTGTCTAAGTACCTCAGTCTCCTTAGAGATAACTTCTCTAGCATCTTTGACGCTGAGCAGCCCATCTAAAAAGCTAATGATCCTTCTGATGCTAAGAATGCAAGAAACAAGACTTCCACTTGGGGTTTGAAAATGAGAGGGAAAACCATGCAGCACAAATTCCCAAAAGGCCTTAGATTGGATTCCTGAAGACAGTTTGTCAATAGTGTCATCTAACTTCAACAAAAGGTCACAAACAGAATCCAGCTGACAAGGATTAATTCCACCCTTCTCAAGGAGCTCATCCTGCATGCATTTGTCAAATCCAGTATATTTGAGAAGCAACAAGGGCGAAAACCTATCAGGAGAACACTGGCTATTATCGAAGGCAGAAAGAAAAGATTTCTGATAGGCCCGTAAGTATCTATTCAGTAAATAAGACAATATCCTCAGTAACACTGCAACTTGATTAGTGCCAAAGGCCCTGGAAACCAGAACTTCAGCAAGATTAAGAAACTCATTGTCCCTGGATGTCTGTTCTGACCACACTGAACCTGCCAAAGTGGTTGAATTCTTAGTGGTATACCTCCAGATGCCAGCAGAAAGTAAGGACAGTACCAGAGAAAGCCATGAACCATTCCTCAAAAAATCCCAGCCAAGCTCCCCGGGGTCCCCTGACATGTGTACAACATGCAAACACTGAAGCACAGCAAAAACCATCTCTGAAAAGTCAAAGTGCTCGGCACTAACACCACAGTGGCCTAATAGTGAGTGGCTAAAACAGAAGAAATGCTCCACGTTTGAGGTGTCCAGAGTATGTATGCCACTACAGAAGCGAAGTAGATGTTCTGAAGTGGAACCCATGGTAGGAAAATCCCAGCAAAGCACAAACATATATCTTTCAAGAATAAGATCATCAACTGTTGCAGCTATATTGCCTCTCCAAAAGCCAAGAAACCGTGAGAAGGTTGCACATATGTCACCCCAACTCAAAGATAAGCATTCAATTGGCATCTCATCTCTACATAATGAAGCAGGAAGGGGTGCAATATCAATAAGTTGATTAATCAAGCTGCTGGTGACAGGCCCATCTCTAATCCATGTAGCCATCAAATTCTCTACAGCAACTGATGCCCAGGATGACAAATGATCATTGACATTATTATGACGATGTAATCCAGTAAGTTGTGCTTCCCTCAACTTGGATCTCAACTTCAAAAGCAATGATGGCGGGCAGGCACGGGGATAATATATCATATGGCGAAGCATTAAAACCAACCTAGAAATCAGTAAAGCCCAGCATGACAATTGTGTATTGTTGAAACCAGCAGCAGGAACATCAATTTCTTTGAGGGTAGAAAATATTAAGTTTGCCAGCATCATCTTCTCACCATCAGAGGATAAATGGAATGCCATAAGAAGAATTTCAATGTGATAAATAGAAGGCAGTGTCTCAAGAAGTTCCTTGAGGCTAGGACAGCTCAAACAAACAGTTTTTGCCTTCTCCTCGATGAAATTCACATATACTTTGTAAATTTTGGTTCTCAACTGGCTACCGGTCAAACCAGCCCTACAGATAACAGCATGAGCTAGCAAGGTCAGGGTATGGTCATTGTAAACAAAAACACCATTTTCAACTTTCAGAATTTGTTCAACAAGGTATTCTTCAAGTGAGGTAGACAATGTATGGCGCAAAAGAAGGTGGTGCAACAGTTCAAAGCAAAGTTCATGGATATTCCCAATCTTCTTCTGTTCATGTAAAGCCAGATGAGTGTCAGAAGTACTGTCTTCAGAACAACAGCCCTGACAGTTGAGTATGGAAAGCAGAATATCCATATGGCTGCCCTTGAGTTTCTTGCAACGATCCTCATATAAAGAAGAATGCCAATCAGGAGAAAAGACACACACTTTTAGAAAACTGCACAGTTCTGTGGCAGCTTGAATTGGCATATTGCAGGAGTTGGAGATAGAACTGGCTGCAACTGCCGGCTGATCATATCCTTCTGTTGATCCTACTGAGCGACCACCCTCAGAGAAAAGGTCTCCAAATAGGGCTTCTTCTTCATGGCAAACATTATTTTCTAGTTCAGCAGTACAAGCCACTTTTGCACCAACAGAATATGATCTCTCCAGTTTCGGCCTTAATTTTACTCCCTCAGAATGAAGGAATAGAACAAGATGCATTAAATTGTCCACCCACTGCTTTGATGAAGGGAAAATAATCTGTAATAGTTCCTCAACTTTGTACTTCTTTAACAAAAAAATCTTCTCAGAATGAACATGGCAAGCAGGGGAATTGTTCTGGAAGTCAGCAAAGCCGCCAGGGCATTCTGTGTCAAACTCCTCCCAATCAATGGCCTGTTGTGTTTGCTGTTTAATGTCTACAATGAGTTTCAATAGGCAAACAACAACACGAGGAAAGTAAGCCAATGGGGGCCTTTGGATTGCAGCAGCCTTGTTGTAACTCCACACATTAGTTTCCAAATTGCCAAATATAGAAGCTACTATGCATGCCCGGATGTTCTGAAATACACTGCTGTTGCAGAAAACAACTTGGACAAGTAAAAGAAACTCTTCCAGCAGCAACAATACTAGGCTCTCAAAAGAACTCTCAACAGCAGCATTACTGTTTACAAAATCAAACTCAGACCTGAATAAACTAGGCAGTACATCAGCAAACGAAGCAACAGCTTGCAGCAATGCAGCATCATATTCAACATATGGGATGTCTTTTACAAGAATTCTCAGTAACTTAAAAATCCTCAAGCAGAAAGACAACCTCTTGTGAAAATTTGTACTGGTCATTTTTGCACCAAGCATATCTGGATGCTCAAACAACTCTTTGCAAAGTGAAACTAGGCGTTGAAAACATGCCAAATGAGCAATTGCCCAATGTTGAGAAAGAGAAGCCAGCTTATTTGCATCTTGGTAAGAAGTGGGTCCAACAATCTGTTGGGGCATATAATCAGGTTGCATGCATTCTGCAGCTAATGTCATAAAAAGCCGATCAACTGGTTTATCTTCCTTTGAGCAACCGCCCCCTTCTCAAAACATGAATAACAAGCAAGGCATTAGAAAATGTTGAAATCTAAAAATAAAAAGGGTAAGATTTGACAAGTAACAACATCAATACCTTGAAGCATGCATCTAACATGGTCACCCAGGTCAATATCGCTATTTTCAGAAGCAAAAGCTAACAACGTATGTACATGTGTATTGTCAAAGCAAGGCTGCAACAGATCAGACTCTTTATCCATTCCACCAATCAATGCTATCTCCAATATTTGTACCACATTATTCTGAGAGTCAAAGATAAATAAAGTCAGAAACAGTTACATACACAAGAAAACACAGAGGCACATAAAATGGGACACTCGATTGAGCAAGATATTGAAACAGAAGCTTGATGGCTACGCCATCAGTCAGAAAAAAATCAAAAAGGAAAAATCATAATTGAGGAAGAGAAAGAAAAAGAAAAAGAAAAAAAAAAAACGAAGATTCTCACAAACAAATCCTAGAATACAAGCCCAAACAAACAGACTTCACAACATGCAGCAGTTTTTGCTGGTTGGTTCCATTATCATAAAGCTGCTCCAAAATTGGCTTTGTTTCAAGATGTAGAATCTATTTTCAATCACCATTAAGTGAGCAATCACCATTTAGTGAGTACACACACACACACACACAAATAAACCTGCAAATGATTGTAACATTCCTATAATTGTTTAACTAAAACAATATGAATAGTAGAAATTAGGGAGAACTTCTATAGCCACAGTAGCAATTGATGCTTCCAGAGAAACTGCTGATTTGGGTAGTTGTTTCATGCCGCTCAAGGAGTTCTAAATTGCAACTTAACAATTGGATGAATTCTATTTAGAAATATATTCATGCATTTACATGTTGCCCTGCAGGAAAATAGATAAGCAGTAGATCACATTTTGTTTACCAATCTTCTTCTCTTTTCCAATGCGACATCAAGTAACTTGGAAATGCATAATTTTACGGAGGGATTATCTTGTACAAAAAGCCTGTTCCATTATATTTGGTCTTCATGAAGTTTGGGAGCCAATCGAAGTGCTGAAGGAGAGAATGTGGCCAATACTCACTAGGGAAAAGTTATTACATCCTAAGGAACATTATCTTTATATGCAATCGGTATCATACGCATGGAACTGGTCAAAGACACGATGTGATACAGCACGCTAACAGCATAAAATTCTAAAAAAATAGGGCACATAAAACCGATTAGGACACAAATTAATATCCTGATATGGTTGCTCTTTAAAAATGTCTACGCTAGTAACTAGTTCACATACCTACTTATCATTCATGCTATTCAAGGTTGCTTTTGAGAGTACCAACACAGCAATGATTAAAGTCTAATACAGGAACCAACTTGGGCAGAAATGTTTTTTAGGTAGACTAATTTGAGGCACACACCAGCTAACAGATAATCAAAGAGCAAAAGTTTTGCTCCAGAGGGTGGAGGTAAAATAGAGCTTGAATGCAACTGCCCCCATCAAGTATATAGAAATCGGCATAAGTGGCTGGGCTGATGCTGATTGAAGGATGAACGCTCAACATCTATGGCTAGAAAGCAATAGATTAGAAGGGTAAGGATGAGAATATATCCATCATTCAATGCTCCATAATGATGGTTTTATTTGGTAAGAGCAGTAATGACATGCAGTTACTCTTCCTCAACTACAAATAAGGAAATCCAAGGTAAACGGATTTAGAGATTTAAAACAAGGTAGGCTGTGGGAGATTATACCTCGACAAGGTACATAAGGATTGATTCCCTATAAAGTCATCCGCTCAATTTACGTAATTTGCAGAAAAAGTTGAGCTTGCAACTTTCAAGAGTAGGCTTCACCTTTTACGGGGACAAGCAAACATTCTCCTCCCCCGGTCTCTCTCTCTATCTCAAAAAGGCAATCCTTAAATCATAAAGAATTAAAGCAGAGCCTAGCCTAGCACTTCTATATGTTATTTCCCAAAATGAAACGATGCATAGAAATATGTCCTTTTCCTCTATTCTTCGGTTTCGCCTTTTTTCATTTTCTTACCTCATCAAAATAAATTTGGAAGTAATCAAAGTGTCTGATGGGGCAAACCTCTTTATTACACAGGTCATATACAAAACAAAGCAAGTTCAACCCCAAAGCTAAGTGAACTAGAGATATTAGTATATTAGGTCAACAACACGTAGGTAATAGTTGTCTTCACTCTATCTGTCCATTTAAGAGGTACCCCTATCCTTGATAAAGCTCAAAAAATAATTATTAAAGATGGCCAAAATAAAAGCCCATGCATTTTTTAGATAAATAATGCTAACAATAACAACAACAATAGTAATAATAAGAGTAAGTGAAATAAAATAAAACAAAATAAATAACTTATGGGTCCATTCTTTCTAGTCAAGCCGACCTCCAAAATCACTTGATATTCCCCCACACTAACCAATGGACAACAAACAAGCATTTAACACAAACGAACTACCAAAATCGGGGGGCGAGTACAAAGCAATATTACATCAAACTAATAACATTCATTCAATGTCAATTGAGATCATCTTCTATGCAAATTCAAATACTGTAGACAATATTCCATGGTAAAATTTAGCACATTGATAAAAGCATATAAACTTTGATATTAAAGTTAGATATCCATTTCACAATGCAATAAATTCGCAATAGCAGTAGATATAATTCCAAAATTGAAGTCTTTATGCTAATATTATGATTGATTGATCACCAAGACATATCAACATATGCATGCATGTCACCCATTTTCTCATACCCAAATTGCCCTTACAAAACTATCCAGGAAGAAAGAAAAAAAAATCGAATTTTAATTTCTCCACAATAATTTCCTTACATTTACATTACAACTGTCATTTCTAACCTTCCAGTCAGATTTAATCCATAACCCACTTTCAGCCTGAGCTTAGATAAACTTTTATGGCGAAAAAGAGTACAAACCTGAACTGTCAAATCATCACTGCTAGACACTGATTTCTCCAAATAACAAATTGCGAATTCCAACGACTGTTGCACCACCGCAACAATCACCGGCTCTGCTTGTTCAACTGATCAATCACAGACCAAAAACACACACAATCAATCACTGAAGTCAATACATATATGATATACGAACACGTACATGAATAGATAGATAGATAGATAGTACCTGAGAGAGATCGAGTAGCGAAAGCAATGGCGTAGGCTAGAGAACAAAGGGATTGAACCTGAGACTGTTCCCAACATTCGAACTTTAATTTTCCATCTCCGATGGCTTGGAGGGCGAGTTTGAGGATCGAGTAAAAGTTCTCGAACCCTAGCTTGAGTGAAGAATCGGAGCGAAGTCTGTGGGAGAGATCGCTCGAGGATGCCTTGTCATCGAAGACAACTTCGATGAGTCTGGCGATTTCAGCCATCACTGCAAAGCAATCGGATGTGAGTGCCCGCTGATTCTCAGTGCATTACAAGAGCTTGATCGGAGACAGCCGGCGAGTGTAGAGAGAGAAAGAGAGAGAGAGAGAGAGAGATTCAGGGGAAATTAAGGGAAGATTTTAGTGGAGGGTTTAGATGAAATGAAAGAGAAGGGGGGGGCGAATTTATATATGCTTCTTTTTGGTGGATAAATTGTATTTGTTTAGGGTAATAATTTTCACTTTTTGCCCACCGACCTTGCAATTTCACTTTTGTTTATCTATAATCTTTTTTTTAATTACAAAAATTTCAACATTTTTATTTTAATACTATTAAAGAATGAACCCCCCAAAAAAAAGAAAAAGCTTAGGTCATGGTCATGACCATGGTTTAAAAACATTAAAGAAAAACAAATTTTATATTTTTCACTGAATAATGCTTGGGACCCCCTTTTGGGGGTCACCCCCTCAACCCCCTTTGCCACGTGGCGGGTGATGATTGGAGGAACAGGAAAAAAAAAAAAATGTAACCAATGAGAGAGAGAGGGGGTCAAAGGGGTCATGGTCATGACCATGGTTTAAAAACATTAAAGAAAAACAAATTTTATATTTTTCACTGAATAATGCTTGGGACCCCTTTTGAGGGTCACCCCCTCACCCCCCTTTGCCACGTGGCGGGTGATGATTGGAGGAGTAGGAAAAAAAAAGAAAAAAAGAAAATGTAACCAATGAGAGAGAGAGGGGGTCAAAGGGGATGAATCATTGTTGTTTTTCACTCCCTAATTTTCCTTGAAATTTTGTTTTTATTTTTAATTAAATTTTGAATGGTGGTGTAATGGGATAATTTTATTGAAACTTTTAAGTTGAAGTTTAAGAAATTTGATTATTATAATTAAAAAGTGAGGGATTAAAATGAAATTTATCTGAAAATTTGGAGACGGAAAAGTGTGATTTACCTTATTGTGTTTTTATAATAGCTATATAAATGTTGTGATTTTAAATTATTTAACAAAATACAATAATTTTTTAAATTATGATTTCATTTAAGGGAAAGTTACCAATAAATCCTAAATGTTGAACTTATGATCCATTTGGTCCCAAATGTTTTCTAACGTTCCGTTTGGTCCTTTTGTTTGTGAAAGGACGCATTTGTCATTTAATTTGGTTGTTTGTGTTAGCGTTACAGCTGGATATGAGAGTTGTTTTTAAAGCGCGTGAGCCACGCAGCTTGATTGTGTTGTTTTCAATTTGAGGAAAGTCGCGTGCCACGTAATTGGGGGTCACATTCCGAAAAAGCACACTAAGGGCATTTTATGTTTTACACATAAGGACTGGCACATGTCACATCAATGGGTGCCGGACAACACTAAATCATACTAAGGGCTTCTGGTAACTAAAAATAAGTGAGGTGAGTGCCACGTGGCACACAACCCAAAGAAGAAAACCCATACCCATTGTTAACACATTTGACATTATAAACACAAACCACAATTGACATGCAACACCCAGACACACACCTCCCCACACACCGCCGACGGGAAAAATGCACACACCGCAACTCCATACGTCCCAAATCAAACACTCAACATGGAGGATGATTGGTGGGTGTCACACATCAAGAAAGTGCACTAAGGTTTTTTATACTTTTTGTCTTGAAATAATGAATGTCACGTGACACACAGTGTTTGATACGTGTCTTTATGAGGGTGATCGGTGGGTGCCACACATCAACAAAGTACACTAAAGCTCTTTGTGCTTTTTGCCTTGAAATGATGTATGTCATGTGACACACACAATGAAGGGTATATTTGACCAGTCAATGTTACCAAATAAAGGAAATAGGATCAACTGGTAAGATATTCCTCCACTAATAGGACTAATCAGAACAATAGAAATAACCTTAGGACCAATCGGTACAACTGTTTGTCAAATAGAATTTATTGGTAAATATCCCTTCATTTTAAAATTCCATCCATTATGTATTTATCTAATTAAGTGACAGTTTTACAACGTTCTTAAGAGGACAAAATTTAAATAACAAGTTGGCCTTATGAGTTCATTACATGATGAAATTATCACTCACTCTCTTTCCTTACCGAGAAAATTTGCCATGGTAATCATTGATAATTACAATTGAAAGAGGGTGATTATAGTGGTTACAACCTTAAAAAGATATTAAATTTATATTTCCTTATGGATAAAGTTTGGCAATAGTAATCACTGACGGTGGTCTAGTGATTACAGTCTTAGAAAGATTATAAATATATATTTTCTTGTGGATAAAGTTTTGCGATGGTAATAATTGATAATTGAGATTGAAAGAAGATAATTATAGTGGTTACGGTCTTAAAAATAGGAAAATATATATTTCCTTGTAGAGAAAGTTTACGATGGTAATCCTTAGTAATCAGGATTGAAAGATGGTGGTTATAGTTGTTACAACTTCAAAAAGAGTAATGATGTGGGTCTCATATCCATATGAGACATATAATAAAATATTTGGATTCCTAACATTTTTCATATTTTATTGTAAAGAAAGTTTATGATAGTAATCATTGATAATCCAAATTGAGAGAGAACGATTATAGTGGTTACAGTCTTAAAAAGAGAATAAAGTCTTGTTTGTCATAACTTAAAAAAATAAAAAAAGTCAAAAAGTCACTATCTTATTAAAGTCACGTCATCTTATTTAAGTCACATCACTCTCTATTATATTATTTTAAATCCAATCCATACCTAACTCATATTTTATAAAAATCAAAAAAATACACTTATTTAAATCATCTCAAACCACCATTAAATATATATTTTCTTATGAAGAAAGTTTTTCATAGTAATTACTGGTGATTGGCATTAGAAGATGATGGTTATAATGATTATAGTATTGAAAAGAGAGAAAGATAGAAGAGATTAGAGAGGTAAAAGGAGGAGAGAGGAAAATAAAAATAAAAGATGTCATTTTAATAATTTAAATCATGAATTTCACTTCTTCTTCTTTTTGTATATAATTATTTTTGTTTTTTCCAGTTGTAATTAATTTTCTCTATTATTTTTGTAGTATTTTGTTCTTTCCTTAATTTTAAAGCAAGGTTCGAAGTACTAGCACCCCCCCCAAAAAAAAGAAAAAAAAGGGAAAAAGTCAGGTTCCAACTTTAACATGGCTTCCAATTAGAACCAAGCACAGACTTCTCTTTTGGGCCAAAAAGTAGGCCTGGCGTAGATTTTAGTAAAATTACAAATCATATGAAAATTAAAAAAGAGTACGCCTCGTTTGGAACAAGCTAATTTAGTAATTTTTTGATTATTTAGTTAAAATATGAGTTAAAAAAAATTAATATGTTTGGGATGACTTTTTGACTTTTTACGAAAAAATGTGCAAAAAAGTAGAGAGAAAAGAGAATCTTTGACTTTTGGTATGGATTATTGGCTTTTGATTTTTTTTAGTGACTTTTTAACTTTTTGGCTAAAAAATCACTTGCCAAACCGAGGCCTAAGTGTGTATAAAAATTAAATACATAATCGGATATAATTCTCTCATGAAAGGTGGGATCGATATGTGTGGGGACTCATATGTAGGATTCATCCCTTATAAAAGGTTTTTTTTTTTTTATGTTTGATTGCTGTATTTATAACATTATTGAATTAAAATATGGTAAATTATATAAAAAATTTAAATATCACAGATCTCCTCAAAGTAATTATAAGTTAATATTTATAATATTTACCACTAATTTAAAAATATTTTCCGAACCCCCACTGATATGAAATTATCCCAAATTACATTGATCTTCTTGAGATTTGGACAAAATCAAGTCTTACAATTTTGAAGATAATTACTTTTAAGTTAAAGTGACCAAAACTAATATAGATGGTATGAAGATATAAATATAAACCATATAAAATATACATTTTAATATAAAGAAGTGAAATGTATATTTAT